GGCATCCTCCCTCCAAAAGAGATTCCTAAAGATGATGAAGAGGAGGAGGCGGTGGCCCTTCAGCAGCAGTCTGTTGGTACGAGAGGACTTTCTCAACACTTTGTTTTAAAGTTGGAGTTGGGAAATATGGACTTTAATCTTAACAAATGATCTATGACTGCATTTCACTGCATACAATCATAAATGCTGCTCAAAATATTCTAATAAACGCAGTTCCTTATAGTTTCTCAGTTTTTTGTCAAAGCAGCGCTGTTTAACTTTTAGCCACTAGGGGTGCTAGATCTACAACTTTAAAGGAATAGTACACCCAAAACATGATTAGCCTTCATTTTCTACTCCCCCCCCATGCTGAGCAACACTCTGGAGTACTTTTTTGACATCTCAAATGCATCTGGAGATCTGGGAGGCTTCTTGCTGTCTGCTGACATTCAAATAAGGGAGGTCTATGGTGACCGAGGCAGAAAGGTCCATAAAAGTCCACAAAAAACGTGTCAATATTCCTCCATACTGCTCGTCCAATGTATTCCAAGTGTCCTGAGTGGGTAGCATCCAGAATTTACTCGAAACAAAGTCATTTAGAATGTTTTTAGAGCATAAACAGTAGTGTATAGGATTTCCTGAAAGCGAGTTCACGACGCTACGGAAACCGTGGCAGACCAAATCAGATGAAAGTGCGCATTCAGCTCGGCAAAGAACTCATGCTCTTCCTCAACACTGAAGTCCTCAGATATTTTTCTTTCGTTGTTTCTTTCTTTGCACAGGTAAACAGCACATTTCTTCTTCTACGCTTGCATTATCGGCAGAGCAGACGCTGAATGCGCACTTTCATCTGGTTTGGTCTGCCGTGGTTACCGTAGAGTCGTGAACGCGCTTTTAGGAAATCCTATACACTACTGTTTATGCTCTAAAAACATTCTAAATGACTTCGTTTCGAGTAAATTCTGGATACTACCCACTCAGGACACTTGGAATACATTGAACGAGCAGTATGGAGGAATATTGACACGTTTTTTGTGGACTTTTATGGACCTTTCTGCCTCGGGCGCCATATACCTCCATTATTTGAATGTCAGCAGACAGCAAGAAGCCTCCCAGATCTCCAGATGCAGTTGAGATATCAAAAAAGTACTCCAGGGTGTTGTTCAGCATGGGGGTGAGTAGAAAATGAAGGCTAATCATGTTTTAGGTGGACTATTCCTTTAAGGTTCAGAAACTCTGCACTGTCCAAATGGAGTCTGATAGCAGACCACTTTGGATGAGCAGATTGAGAAGTTTTAAGTTTCTTTTTAAAGCCGCTTTAGATTAAATCCTACACCAGAAAATCCCAGATATTTGTGATCAGGTAGGTTTCATTTGTTTTGTTGGCTAACAAGTTTTAGCTTGGTTAGCTCTGTGTTTAAGGGGACTGTAAAGAAGCACTCTGGATCAAATAAATCATTCCGATCTGTATATTGACCTGAAATATCATTTAATATGTATAAAATGAAGCTAATACTCTGGTTAAAGGGTACACAGTGTTGCTTTAATGCCGTAATTATAATTCCAATAGTTGCCAGTATGTGTTAATTTGACATTTTAACTTATAATTTTGAGTATAATGATGGAATATATTCTTCCCATAGTCAAAACCTATGAGAGCATGACTCTGGATGAACTTGAGGAGAACGAGGATGAGTTTGGGGAAGATGATGAGGCTGCCATCGAGATGTACAAGTAAGTAACATGACTTTGTTTTAGGATTTTATGTGAAACATTTTTGGAAATTTCCCAGAATTAGATTTCTTCAGTCGCACTTTCCGACATTTTGAGTGGGAATTTTCCCATCGTAAAGATTATTCCCACATGAGGGCAGCGATGAGCGCTTCCAAAAAAGTAAAAAAAAAACAATCCACTGGACTTTTTCTAAGTTTGAAGATGTTTCGCTTCCCATCCAGGAAGCTTTTTCAGTTCAAAATGTCAGGAAGAGCGTTTATGCAGTAGCCCAACAAAGGCTTGTTTTTGTTTAGAAAACATTCAAATTGAAGCGGATGAACGGGTCCACCCCTTTGGAATGGGGGTCATTGGCTTCTTTTGTTAGCCTGCAAAGCCCCATACCTGTCTATGTCTCTGGAAGGAGGATCGTTAAAGGGATTTGTTGGCCTGGCTGAATAGGAGAGGTCTTTTGTTCCCCTGTAAAGGTGTTGGGGTTGTGAGGATAGTGGGAAGGGATCAACTCAATATCTCGATTAATTAATAACTCAATTTCTTAACATAGATGGCTTCCTTCACGCCCCTCTTAAACCACCTATTTTCTTTGGCCAATGTTCACATTTTGGACAAAGAAAATAACTTATTTTGGAATAACTATGACCTGGATGACTGAGAATCTTCAACAACGTGATGAGCCCCGTTTCTCTTTCTAGACAGCAGCGACTTGCAGAGTGGAAGGCGGCTCAGATGAAGAACGTGTTCGGCGAACTGGGTGAAATCTCTGGACAGGATTATGTGAAAGAGGTCAACAAGGCAGGAGATGGAATCTGGGTGGTGCTGCACCTCTACAAGCAGGGGTAAGTTAGCTCATAGTTTAAATTAGTTGTCTTAGTTTGTTTTTTTAGCATAAAAAATGATTTAAATTGATGAAAAATGTTAAATTAAGGCATGTATATACTGACAAAGACAAATGGAAAATAGTGGCTCTTTGTGCTTAGTTCATGGAAAATACTAGAAAACTGTAAGTCAGTTGGAAGATCAAAGGTTTTTAGATAATAAACAAGATAAAAACAAATATGCTAGTGTTTAAGAAAAATTTACTGACCTTTTTTTGTTGGCAGTACATTTTGAGCTAGACAAGTGAAACACTATTTCAGTTACTTACCTATTTATACTGTCAATAGCAGCAGCTATACGTTGACATAGAGAAAAGACTTTAATATACAGTAATGTAGCAGTCAGAGTCAGGCAGTAACATTTCTGTCTGTTTCATCTCCACCCAGCATCCCTCTCTGTACCCTCATCAACCAGCATCTGAGTGTCCTGGCCAAGAAATTCCCTCAGACCAAGTTCCTTAAGTCCATCTCCACCACCTGCATCCCAAACTACCCCGACCGCAACCTGCCAACCATCTTCGTTTACTTTGAGGGAGAGATGAAGGCGCAGTTCATCGGCCCGCTGGTGTTTGGAGGCATGAACCTCAAAGCTGAAGGTGGGGCCGTACTTCATGAATTAAAAACAAAACATAAACTTTTAGCTGTTTCTTTTAAGTGTAGCTCATTCATCAGATGACATGAATGTTTTATTACTTTTAACTTTGCCTAATGCAAAAACATTGTGTTCGCACATCCAAGTTTCACCTGTAGTCTACAGATGGTAAGAATGTGGTGCCAAAATTTAAATGTGTCCTGCCATATTTAGACAGGATTTCCACGCTTCATTAAAAATCATTAAACTATAATTTCAATGCCTTAATTGGCATTATAATTAATTAAATGTGATTATGTGGCATTTAAATGATTTATATAAAAAACAATTTCATCAGATATATATATATATATATATATATATATATATATATATATATATATATATATATATATATATATATATAGCATTTTTCAAGAGCATTAAAAAGCATTAAATTAGAGTTACTTATTCCTGTATAAACCCTGTTAGATGCGTTTCAGCGTATTAACTTTTGAATAAAAGAAGTGAGTTACCTCCTGCATGTTGTCAACTTCATTAGAGAACAATGGCAGCTATATTTGCTGTGATCAATGGGTAAATAGTAGTTTGAATCAATTTTGAAGTGGGAAAATCCACCTGAAAAGATGGTCAGTGTAGTCAGTTCCTCCAAATTACCATCCTGCCTTTAAATATTATTTCGCTGTCACTAGGAATCCTATTCAACAGCAGCCTACGGCCCAGTCGCCTTTTCGAGGTTTGCCACGGCGTGCCTCAGATACAGCATTTGCGATGGAGCAGTGGGCGTAAACACTACGGACTGGAAGTTGTATTCCACTTGATCTTGGCTGATGTGCGCCAACCATTTGTTCCTTTTTAAAAAAAATTAAGAATCGATACTTGGCGTCAAGAATCGATACAGTAGTTCACAAAAATTAGAATCGCGATGCATCGTCATGACGATTTTTTGCACTCCCTTAGTTCCTACTGGTGAACCTAATATAATAGTTTATTATTGTATTTACATAATTAAAGTTGAATGTGATGTAAATTCAGATTTTGGGAATAATTGTTCTTTTCCAGCAGAAATCCAGCAGTATTAGTCTTAAAAGCTTCTTCTTTGTTCTTCTTTAGTCTTTTTATTTTTGGGAACAATACTTTTGAGCAAATTGTTAAAGCTTTATTGTAATTGTATTTTATATTATTTTTAATAACCAATGCCTTTATGCAATCTTTCCGTTGTGTCGTATCTTTTCATTTGATGTGATTTTTATTTATTTTTTTATTTCCGTTGCAGAGCTGGAGTGGAGGTTATCAGAATCCGGGGCAGTGAAGACCGACCTGGAAGAAAACCCCAGGAAAAACATCGAAGACAAGTTAATGTCGTCGATCAGGAGTTCGCTTCCCACGCGGAAGGACAGCGACTCTGAGGATGAGGACTATTAGAGGACAAGATCTTTTCATGGAGGAAACAGTCAAAACATGAAAGAACTGAGCTGGGGCAGCACGTCACCCTCATATATCATCCAGTTCTTATGTCTGCAGAGCTTAGTCCTGCTCAAAGGCACATTGGCAGGCCACTGGAGAGATTTAACCCAAGGTTAAAACAGTTTAAGAAGGAAAAATGGAATAACAGCTTTTTTATTTTATTTCAAACTTTGATTCAATTTAAGCAATAGCCTTACAGAACCGTAAAGGTTGACCTTTTTTTATTACATTATAAATATGTCACAAAATGTACATAAACATTTTATATTCCTTTAATTCAATGCAGGTTCAATCCCTCTACCACTTTAGTCGGTTGCCAAAATTCTCTTTTTGAAATAAAAAGTCACTGCTGATCATGAGATTTTCAAAGTGTTTATATCTTATTTCTGAGACCAACTCGGTGAAATTCAGTCGTCAACGGTTGGAAGCATCGAGACACTTAACCTGTCGTCGCGGCCCAGTTTTTTTTGTTTTTGTTTTAATCTTTACAAGTTATTATTTCCTGTTTAAGAAAAAAAAAAAAAGGTTTCCTTCTGGAGCCCGAAATGCAGCCTGTCGCTCAAATGGTAGACGCTTCATCCAAGCCGGAGCTGCAAGCTGCTCCTCCTCCCCAACGTGTGGGACTTCCTCAGTTTCACAGATGCTCCTTCTATAACGTCCCCTCTGGCAGGTCTCGGATTTTCTGTTTAATTAGCAGGAGGTAATGAGAGGCAGAGAAATGTCAGTCAATGAGCATGAACAGTGATGAGGTTAAGGTGATTTATTTGGGCTCCATCCTAATCACTTCCTCGCTACTTCTTCTCTGCCTGAAAGGTTAAGTCTTTAAAGGCAGAGGAGAAATGATGGCATGGGTCTTGTTTTCTCTTCATGTGTCCTGACTTCAACCTACACCGGGCTAAAAATTGATAAACTAAGTGAAAAAAAAACATTTTGCCTTTTAGTTTTTGCTCTTTAAGGTCCATCTCAGAGTTTATACAGCAAAAAAAGAATAAAAAATAAAAAAGGATAATTTTAAGCTCCATCTAACCGATCCTCTGACATGTGCTGCTGATATTTTTGGGCCCATTTTTAGAGCCGATGTTGCTTTCTCTTCTTCCATTTACATGATAAAAAAAAAAAAATTACAACAAATGTTACACAAGTCTCAATTTAAATAATTTTTTTAATGCATCAAACTAAACATTAATGGATAGCTAATGGTGGAAGCAGCAATGCATACGCTTCGTGTGATCTCAGGAAATGGCTGCAGAAAGTGCTACTGAAGCAGCCAACGCACGCATCTGTTGGCCAATACAAGACGGGAAACAAAAAAACGCTATCGTCGACCGGCTTTGGTCAATCTCTATAGATTAATGCTTTATTTTAGAAGTGAGGGCAAAAGGATTGAGTTGTTGATTCAACCTAACCTTGACTGTTTCATACTCTTCCATTTTCCTTCACTGCAAAAGCGATCTAAACATGAGAAAAAGAGTTTTGACTCTTATTTAAGTTGGTAAATAAGATGATCTGCTAATGGAATTAGTATTTTTACAGCTTTTTAAAATTTTTATTAGTGTCACAAATATAGAGCAACGAAATAATTTCTGCATTTAACCCATCTCCTTGGGGAGCAGTGGGCTGCCATTGTGCGACGCCCAGGAAGCAGTGTGGGGTTAAGGTAGCCAGTGTCAGTCGGTGGGTGTGGGGCTTGAACTCTGGATTCCAAGCATAATGCCTTAACCACTAGGCAACCACTCCCCACTACATAAAATAAGATATTATGCACTTGAAATAAGAGACGGCTTTTATTTCTCATTTTAAATGTAAATTGTCTTATTCTATTGGAAAAATGTTTATCTGATCTGCATAATTCAAGAAAAAATGCTCTTATTTTAAGGAAACTGGACTTGGATTTAAATTTTTTTGCAGCGTGATAAAGTCTTTAGTTTTGTCGCATGTGAAAACCTTTCCAAAATGATTCAACTTATCCCTTAAAAAGAATAGGAGAAAAAATCCTTTTATGGTTAAAACTACTTGGAAATACAGAACTGTGGACCTAGCTGTGAGGGGACACTGGCCAACTTTATTATAGTAATAATAATTGACCTTTATTGATCTCACATTGGAGAAATGTACCTCTGCATTTAACCCATCCCCTTGGGGAGCAGTGGGCGGCCATTGTGCGGCGCCTGGGGAACAATTAGGGGCTAAGGGTCTTAAACTCGTTTTATCTGAATTGACTCCTTAAAATACAACCAATCACTCTAACTAGAACCAGAAGAAGATAATCCCTTTTTTCCAACATGACAAGCTCTACAATTAAAAAAAACTAAAAACACCTTTAACAGAAGAACCTCAAATATACACTCAAAGCCACTAAAACAGACGGCGGCAAACGAAACTAGTCGATGTGCGAAAGCTTCTCTCACCAGAAGTAACACCTTCTTCTTTCTCCTCTGGGATAGTTTAGGTGGAAGTCGCATCAAAGGGTGAACTGAATGGGACTGAAAAAGAGATAAAGATTCAATTAGTCATGCGGTGCGGCAAAATGAGGCGATAATCAAAAATGAGGTAGAAAAACCGCCGTTCCCTGCAGAGTAGGAGTGCGTACTAAATAATTGCTCTTCCATCCATGGTCGTTATTTTCAACAGAAACGGTGATACATACAGCCGCTGTGCTTAGATTCTCATTTTTTTTTTCACTGATGTTTGCAGTGAAAATCCTGATAACCTTACTATAAAATACCCCCCGACACACTTTAACTCGTCTATTCCAAAGATTTAAGACCTAATCCCCCTGCATCACCTGTTTACTCATCCGATACTGTAATAGCCGTCATGTGTTCTGCAGCTTACCGTAATTGTATAGACTTTTAGGGTTTGAAAAACTCCTGTATCATCAGTATGTCAGATGTTGTATTTGCTCTAAACATACAGAATTGTTATGGAACCAATGAATAGGTAAAAATTAGTGTTGCACCGATGCCATGTTTTGACGACAATAACGACACCCGATACCTGGCTGGTCAGTATCGGCCGATACCATCTGTTTGAAATTGATGTGTGTGTGTATATATGAAGAACTGCGTACTACTTGGATGTAAAATAATTGCCATCAGGGCTTTGTCAAGCTGCTGAACTGGAAAAAAATCTAAATCTAGATAAGTCAGTTTTTTTTTAAATAGGTGCATTTGTTCTTGGATTGAGGAGATTAAAAAATAAATTTTCCCAGTGGAACAAGACAATTTACATTTAAAATAAGAAAACTCAATTGCATTGTCTTATTTCAAGTGCATATTATCTAATTATCTTATTTTAAGAGTAAAAATTCTCATTCCATTGGCAAACTACCTCATTACCCACTTAAATCAAGGGTAAATATGCTTTATTTAAGAAATTTAAACTTATTTCTAGATCGTTGTTCCAATGTGCCTACCTTTGTGAAGCAGGAAAAAGACTAATACAAAGTGAATCCAGCAGAACTTTTATTGCCTACTTGGAATGGGTGACAATACTTAAATAAACTTTTGACTTTCAAAATGGTATCGGTGCCCTATTTGTTGGTACTGGCCGATACCGATACCACAGTTTTAGTGCTGGATTGGGGCCTGCATGATACTGGTATCGGTGCAAAACTAGTAAAATCCGAAGAGACAATTTCATCTCAGCTAAATGAAATGGAAACAGTTTTCCAATTAATTCAGTTATTTGTTATTTGACGAAACTCCATAAAGCTTTTACCTTTTAAGCCTGAGACGTTCAGACCATTATTAAGGGAGTAAAGGGATCAAAAACTCACAATAAATAATCTATTAGGTCCAGAAGCAGCAGCACACAGTTAATTTTACACACCCTTCATTCTAAGAATATCTGCTCATCATGAATACTGTTCATACAGCAGCTTATGTCCATGGGCAGCTCTAGGCAGGGGCCAAATATTTTCCTGTTAAATTGGTCCCTTATACACTATATTGCCAAAAGTATTTGCTCACCTGCCTTGACTCACATATGAGCTTAAGTGACATCCCGTTCCTAATCCATAGGGTTCAATATGACGTCGGTCCACCCTTTGCAGCTAGAACAGCTTCAACTCTTCTGGGAAGGCTGTCCACAAGGTTTAGGAGTGTGTTTATGGGAATTTTTGACCATTCTTCCAGAAGCGCATTTGTGAGGTCGCACACTGATGTTGGACGAGAAGGCCTGGCTCTCAGTCTCCGCTCTAATTCATCCCAAAGGTGTTCTATCGGGTTGAGGTCAGGACTCTGTGCAGGCCAGTCAAGTTCATCCACACCAGACTCTGTCATCCATGTCTTTATGGACCTTGCTTTGTGCACTGGTGCACAGTCATGTTGGAAGAGGAAGGGGCCAGCTCCAAACTGTTCCCACAAAGTTGGGAGCATGGAATTGTCCAAAATGTCTTGGTATGCTGAAGCATTCAGAGTTCCTTTCACTGGAACTAAGGGGCCAAGCCCAGCTCCTGAAAAACAACCCCACACCATAATCCCCCCTCCACCAAACTTTACACTTGGCACAATGCAGTCAGACAAGTACCGTTCTCCTGGCAACCGCCAAACCCAGACCCGTCCATCAGATTGCCAGATGGAGAAGCGCGATTCGTCACTCCAGAGAATGCGTCTCCACTGCTCTAGAGTCCAGTGGCGGCGTGCTTTACACCACCGCATCCGACGCTTTGCATTGCACTTGGTGATGTATGGCTTGGATGCAGCTGCTCGCCCATGGAAACCCATTCCATGAAGCTCTCTGCGCACTGTTCTTGAGCTACATGAAGTTTGGAGGTCTGTAGTGATTGACTCTGCAGAAAGTTGGCGACCTCTTCGCACTATGCGCGTCAGCATCCGCTGACCCCGCTCCGTCAGTTTACGTGGCCTACCACTTCGTGGCTGAGTTGCTGTCGTTCCCAAACACTTCCATTTTCTTATAATACAGCTGACAGTTGACTGTGGAATATTTAGGAGCGAGGAAATTTCACGACTGGATTTGTTGCACAGGTGGCATCCTATCACAGTTCCACGCTGGAATTCACTGAGCTCCTGAGAGCGACCCATTCTTTCACAAATGTTTGTAAAAACAGTCTGCATGCCTAGGTGCTTGAATTTATACACCTGTGGCCATGGAAGTGATTGGAACACCTGATTCCAATAATTTGGATGGGTGAGCAAATACTTTTGGCAATATAGTGTATGTGCAGGCAATGAAACCATAGCTAATTAACCCAATAGAAAAAGTTTCTTTGTTACATTTGTGGATTTTCTTTAAAAATGATTTAAAACTTAAGGTGCTGCACTTTTAGCTTCAGCTACACTTAGATAGGATCACAGTTTTCATCTTCTAGATCTGGGGTCTGCAACTTGCAGCTTCAGAGTCATAATTGGCTCTTTTACTCACTGAATCTTTTAACTATTGCCCTGTTATTGCTTTTTTCATTGTTTTCTCATGTGCATTCATGAAAAAAAAAGCACCTTTCCACACCCTGGCAAATTAGGTGCAGAACAGCCACTGCTTAGATGTGTGATTTGGCTTTAAAAACTGCTTCTCTTTCCATGCAAAGTGCTAACATACTGATATACAAGGTCAGATTAATTTATGGTAAAGAGAAGTAGCTTGTTTTTGCTCACCTCTTGTTGAACGGCTCCAACAGAGTTCCGCGCTTTGGAGTAATGGAACAGGAACTGTGTAGGGGAGAAAAAAAAGGCAAATAAACTTCATCTTCTATGAACTGTTGGAATGATCAATCAAACAAAACAAAATTAATATTGGAAAGAAAACCTTACTCTTTTGAAAATATTCTGGACTTGCTCCTGTGGAGGAAAATAAATACAAATACGGATTAATACCAAAAGCATAAAATCGAGAAAAAAAAGTTTTAATTATATATAAAATTAAAATTTTGAATTAAATTTGTTGTATTTTTTGATACTTGCTGTAATTTTTCTACACCTGTTTGTATCTGAACTCATCTTTGATCATGGGAAGATGAATAGGTCATCATGAACTGATCCAGGTAATGGCAGAACTTTTAGTTTTTGGGACCAAAGTATTAAAACAAGCACAGAGCTCACTGTTAAAAATAAAGGTCTAACATCCTTAGCTGGTTAAATACATAAAATGCAAAACAAAATAAACCCAAACAGTCGGGACACTGGTAAAGCAGAGCATCTAAAGTAACTAATCCCTGGTGACAAACTCTCATCCTCCACAGTTTCTACCTCCAAAATGTTAGATTACTCTCTATAGTCATCCATATTAATACAATTTCTATTAATTATCACTTCTGTTTATTTTTTTTTTCCTGGAAAAAAACAACTCCACACGTTGAGCAACTGCTATTTTTATTGACACGCTTTAAGAGTTGGTTCAGTCTAATTCATCCCCTGTGGTGCAGTCTATGGTCGAAAAAGGAGTGGCTTCAATTCCAAACGTGATCGCTTGAGTTAGATTGTATGAAGACGTGGAGGGAAATCAATTCATTTTTAAAAAATGTAAATCAGAAAACAGCCTTCAAAAACGTAGAGCTGTACTGTAAGGATGGATGGCGTTAGGAGTCACCAGACTTTTAGACACATGCAGTCGTCATACAGCATTTGTCTGTTGCAATAACATTTCCTTAATGTTTTAGAAGTACCAGACACTGGCGATGTTAATAAAAAACTGTTAAGTCTTCAGTCGTAGTGAGTCAAGAAAAAAGATTTCTCCTGGGATCGACAGTAAGTCTAGATTCTATTCAAAAAACTAAAACATTTAACTCTTCTAAGCTTTTGCAGTACCAAACACACTTTAAAAAGTAAACTAAATCTAAAAATAAGTGATTATATTTACCCTTAAATTGAGTAGATAAATAAGATGATCTGCCCATGGAATCATTGTTTTTGCTCTTAAAATAAGATAATTAGATATTATGAACTTGGAATAATTCAAGGCAGTTATTTTTCCTTATTTTAAATATAAATGTTCTTATTCCAATTAATTTAATGAAAAAACTGCACCTATTTTAAGAAAAAATGACTTACTTAGATATCATGTTTACATTAAAACATTTTTTGGAATAAGTAAACATTTCTTATATAGTTATAGTATATTTACCCTTAATTTGAGAAGGTAAATAAGATGATTTGCCAATGGAATTAGTATTTTTGCTCTTAAAATAAGATATTTAGATAAAATGTACTTGAAATAAGAGAATGCAATTGTTTCTTAATTTAAATGTCAATTGTCTTGTTCCATTGACAAAATGTCTCTTTTACCTCCTCAATTCAAGAACAAATGCACTTTTTTTTTAAAGAAAAAAGGACTTATCTAGATTTAGATTTTTTCCAGTGTACAGTGCATTGTATACCAAGGTGACCATAGTCTTAGATTTTTATTAAAAATAATTTAAAAACCAGAGGTGGTTGAAACTGGAGTTCTCTGCCCAGGCTGCCATTTACTCAGGGTTTGGTTAAAATCACATTTCTTCATCGATATTTGTGGTCATGAGGTGGAAGGTTATATCTAGTCTCTGGTCTTTTCTCATTCTTGTGAACTTAATCACCCAGGCTAATATCGAAGCTAAAACAGCCACATTCTCCAGTTCAAGACTTTGGTTTACCTGAATCTTATGTAAAATCGATCATTAATCAAATTAAAATCTAATTTCCTAACTTCGCAAACAGAAAAAGTGCAAGAGAGAACACATATAAACACACACAAGGAGAGGGTTAGTGTAGGCAGATTATTTTCTGCATCTAATTAGGTGAATTAATCATGATCGTGATTAATTGAAGATTGAATGGTGAAAGATGCTGTTGTTTGGGATCAAACATAAGGTTCTCTGAGTTTACTGAACAATTTCATCATGAGCACGCAGCTCCCGCATTATCTCTGACAGGAAAACGGATCATCACCCTTTCGGGAACTGAGGCCGAGGGGAAATGTGGAACTTTATCTTTTCTTTTCCCATTTAATATTTAATGTGATCATGAGTGTCCGATCGCTCAGGGATGTTTAAAGCAGATGGGATGTGAGCCTACCTCATTCTGGTCTTTCCACAGCACGTTACTCAGATCATCGCTTTGGATGCCTCGCACCTACAAATAAAAAAACACTGCATTAAGAACAGACAAAAAATACAACAAAGCATTTAAGTACCTAAAAAATGAACTGGGTAGTCCTTCGAATTGAAATGGAACAAAATCCATACGTTTAATTACCGCTTAGCATCCCTTCTACTTTATTCCCATTTACACAACTGCAGCTATTGGCTGAATGATCTATTGGATCTAATTGTCCTTTTAATCTGTGAAAATTAAACGAGATTGTCTATTGAATAAGATGGATCGCCAGGTCTCTACCTTATGCAATAAATGTGGAAGATAGGTTGGAACGTTTTACCATTATTTCTGGCAATGCAGACTGATCCAACAATTCTGGTGCAATTTCTAAAGAGCTGAGTGACGCGTTTCATGTAAAAATCAGCTGAGACCAGGTCTGTTTGTTCTTGGCCTCCCTTCAGTCAGTCACTCTGACCCAATCAAACTTCAAACTTTGTGACAAATTATTGCTTTTGGCTAGAAAATGCATTCTAATTAATTGGATTAAGGATGAACCACCAACAACCACCAACTAGGGTCCTCCCTTATTAAAGGGTTAGTGCAGTTCTTAATGGTAATGAGAATATTTCATTATTATGTGGTCTCCTGTGCATAATTATTTCCTTATAGAGCTGACACAACTTGTAAGGTCTCACCAGATATTAACTAATGAACATCCTCCTTTTGAATTACTATGCATTTTTTTTTCTTTCTTTGATCACCCGGCTAGATGTTATTATGTTAATGTCAGACTTTAAATACGTCCTTTAATGTTTGCCACTGAAGACGTGATTTAACGTGAATGTGATACTACACTTCCCTTTATTTGTTAAAATAAAAAAAAATGTTGTTGTTGTTTCCTGCTCCGTATCCCATACTTATGTAAGATAATAGGCAACACAGGGTAGAATTTTCTTTCTTTTCTTTTTATTTTTTTTTTCCTGTTTGTGTAAACACAAAACTGATAAAATGTTTAAAATATAGAAACAAGATTTCCAGGTCAGTCTCCTTCCGAGACATTTTTCTAGAAAAAAACACTGAAATCTATGGAGGACGAACGTGAATCCCCTTAAAAGATGTAGAAGTACAGATGTCTCAGTCATGTGAATGAAAAAAAATTATTTCCCTACCTTTCGCAATGCAGTGTCGTCTCTCCAACGTCCAAAAAAACTGGCATCTGGACATAGAAGATATATGAACATTTTCATCTTCAGCATCTTCATCATTCATCCCATAGTAAACTCATGTTTATGTGTATTTTATTGGTGAATTAAATACATTTTTAAAATAGTTTACACAGTCTCATATCCAAACAGAGACGGGGTAATTATTTTTGTTGTCAGTGGAAATTAGGGTACTTTTATAAAGTAATTTCATCCTGCTTTATAATCCAGAAGATTTTAGGATAATTTTGACCAGAGTCACTAATAACTAATGAACAGCATCTTAAAATTGGTTTCCCTCTGAGCCCCAGTGGTTAAATTGTTCAGTCACACAATAACACCAATGTCTTCCTGCCTTAATTCATTTTAATCTGATCTCTGGCTGCTGACTGTTACTAGAGGAGAGCGCAGCCCCACCAACTATTAAGGGACCAGATTAGTTAAAATCTGCAGTAGATTGGGAATATATCAGTGTTAAAACATGCTACGAATGGTATTATTTCAGCTAAAAAGCAGATACACCATTTTAAAACTAAAGCAATATTTATACCTCTTATTTTACTCTTATTACATCATAAAGCTATTTTTCTGTTTTCGTCTTTACTTTTTTTGAAACATAGAGTAACCTCTGAGCTTATAGTTTTTTCCATAACTGCTCCTGATTATAGTTTGCAGTTGAATTCAAGGTCTTGCCCCCATAGATCATGTCTAATACAAAGCCCTGAAGGAGTAATCCCAAGGAATAAATAAGGTTGAGTCTAAGTCTAAGCATTTATTACAACTAATGTGTTTTTCTCCCCAGTAGTATACGCACACTAGATGAGGCTCATTTGTTAGAATAAAACTACATTTTGAAAAAAAGGCTACCTTAAAGCAGGCATTCGCATACCTTTCATCTAGCCCACATTTTTTCCCTATTTTTGCATTGGTCTGATAACATTGTGTTGTTTACTGAATTTCCCTTTTAAGATGAAGAAAGTATTTTTGATTTGAATTGAATTTCAAAAGTCTTTTACTAGAAAAATAATCAGCCATAGAAGAAAGTAGGGCTTGAATTAATATAATCAATCTAGATATATTTTGTTATGATTTGAAAAGAAACCCAATGAAATATATATTAGATTTTTATTATTAATTAAGTTGTTTGAATTTTACTTTTTAAAACATAATTTGATGCGTGGGGATGGGGGATATGGGATAGTTTGAACATGCAGAAATTTTTATTTATTTATTTTGCGTTAATATAAATTATTTTCCTCTGTAAACATTTTTTCTTTCACTGGGGATGTTTCAGTATGTGGAAGAAATGTCTATCTATCTATCTATCTCTCTCTCTCTCTCTATATATATATATATATATATATATATATATATATATATATATATATATATATAATGCTTCCTCAGCTGCCAAGATATTATAAAAACAATGGAGATGCAATCAGAATCCATGGCATTGAGGCAAGGATTTTTCCACTCATTAATAGTTATTTAGCTGAAAATGAGCAGCTTATTGTCAATGTTAGCAAGCCTTTGTCCCAGCTGGTAGTATGGGGACAGGTAGATGTTTATAAAGTTATTTACAAAGTAATCATTAAGAAAAATGCCCATTTACATGTCATAAACTCCTCATCTCGTTCATCTTACCTGTTGCGCTCAAACATCCAAGAATCCCCAACAAACACAGCAGGAAAAGTTGCCTCATAGTCATCTCTCCTCGCTCCTCTCTTTGTTTCTGATTCTCTTGTCCGACTCGGTTCGGTTCGGTTCTGATCGCATCCTGCTCCCCTGCTGCAATTTAAACTCTTTGCAGGCTGTAGAGTAACCTCGCCTTCGACCAATCACAGCCCGATCCGATCATCAGCCGCGTGCGCAACTCCCCACGCGCACATCACCAGTCCGCACAGGCTGATGATCACTGGGATTGCAGGGATGATGGAGGCTGCTTACGTCACGACATGAATGTGGTTGTTGTGTCCCATGGTGGGAGGGGGGATTCAGGCGACGCAATAATCCAAATAAGTCATCAAAGTTGGTCTGAAATAACAAAACTGCTCCTTCCCTTTCTCTGATGGTTGTTATGTTTTACAAAATTCCAGGGCTTGTTTGATGGTAGTTCAAAAAATAAAATTGTAAACAAGCCACTGGACTTTGTTTCCAAGTTTGAGGACATTTCGCTTCCCATCCAGCAATAGCGTTCAGTTCAGGGTTTTATACAGTATTGGTGGATTGTTTTAAATTTCCTTTTTTGAATGACTATGACCTGGATGACCAAGAACCTTCACCAGCATATTTGATGGTAGCAAAGGATGTAACTTTCTGATTAAAGTTGGTGGGGACACCCTTAGGGTGGGGACTGATGGACCTACAGTCGACAAACGCCTTCAATAGGGTTTGTATTTTCCAAAAAATTTGCTCAAACATATATATATATATATAACTTTAAAGAATATATATTAATTCATTTGTATTTCATTGAGGGAAATAAGTATTTGATCCCTCTAGCCAAACACAGTCAATACTTAGTGGCAAAGCCTTTGTTAGCAAGTACAGCAGTGAGACGTTTGTTGTAGTTAACCACAAGTTTAGCACACACACCAGGGGGAATTTTGGCCCACTCTTCTTTGCAGATCCTCTCTAAATCAGGAAGGTTGGTGGGCTGTCGCTTGGCAACTCTGACCTTCAGCTCCCTCCATAGATTCTCAATCGGATTGAGGTCCGGAGACTGGCTGGGCCACTCCATGACCTTCATGTGATGTTTCTTGAGCCAATCCTTTGTTGCCTTTGCTGTGTTTCGGGTCGTTATCATGTTGGAAGACCCAACCACGTCCCATTTTCAGCTTCCTGGCAGAGGGGAGGAGGTTGTCCCTCAGGATTGTACGGTACATGGCTCCATTCATCTTCCCAGTGATGCGGTGAAGTAGCCCTGTAACCTTGGCAGAGAAACACCCCCAAAACATTATGCCTCCACCTCCATGCTTGATGGTGGGCACAGTGTTCTTGGGGTCAAAGGCAGCATTTTTCTTCCTCCACACATGGCGGGTAGGGTTGAGGCCAAAAAGTTCAATTTTGGTCTTGTCTGACCACAGAACCTTCTCCCAATAACTTGGTTCATCTTTCAGGTGATCATTGGCATACTTAAAGCTGAAGTCTGTAAGTTTTTAAAAATCCATTTTTTGTCATATTGGCTAAAACTGTCCCTATGCCCAGACAGCAGTACATGTGATATGTAACCTGTGAAAAAAACTGCTTCAATTGGTCCCGCCTACTGCCTGTATTGCAATCTGGAAAGAATAATTCGGGACGAGTCAAAACAACCAATCACAGCCAGAGGAGCGTCTGATGGAGTGTCAATCACAGCTCACACACGCTGAATCCCCCCCCCCCCCCCCCCCCCCCCTTCTGGTCGCATGCGGTAGCCGCGCAGATGCTGTGAGAGGGGTGGAGCTTGGAGGTGGGGCATGAGTGAAGCAGAGAGGGTGGGGGAGTGGCGTGAAACCTGTTTTTCTTCAAATTTTCAGTCGAAGTCTGCTCTCTTCTCAATGTTACAGACTGCAGCTTTAAGGCGCGCCTCCACATGTGCCTTGTTGAGCAGGGGTACCTTTCGGGCACTGCAGGATGTTAGTCCATTGTTGCGCAAAGTGTTGCCAATTGTTTCCTTGCACACTGTGGTCCCAGCTGCCTTCAGGTCATTTACCAACTCCTGACGAGTGGTTGCAGGATTATTTCTGACCGTTCTCAGGAGCATTGTCACCCCACGAGGTGAAATCTTCTTTAGAGCACCAGACCAAGGTCTGTTGATGGTCATGTTATACTCTTTCAATTTTCTAACAATTGCACCAATAGTTGTTACTTTCACATCCAACACCTTGCTAATCTTTTTGTAGCCCATTCCAGCTTTGTGGAGGTCAACAATCCTGACTCTGAGGTCCTGAGACAGCTCTTTGGTCTTACCCATGTTGGAGACTTGAAATCTGTCAGATTGTCTGATTCTGTGAACAGGTGTTTTTCACACAAGTGAGTAGTGAGAACAGGTGGCTTTAGTTCAAGTAACAAGCTGATTGGGAGTGTCTAACTGCTCTGTGAAAGGCAGACACCTAATGCATACTGAGGGATCAAATACTTATTTCCCTCAATGAAATACAAATTAATTAATGTATATTCTTTAAAGTTATATTCTGGATTTTCTTTTTGATATTCCGTCTCTCTATGTTAGAATACATCTACCATTAAACGTGCAGAATGATCACATCTTTATTAGTGGGCAAACGAAGAAAGTCAGCAAGGGATCAAATACTTCTTCACTGTATATATATATATATATATATATATATATATATATATATATATATATATATATATATATATATATATATATATATATATATATATATATACATTCAATGCTTTCCTATTGTTGAGAACACAAAGGAACCAAAATACACTGGTATTTATATTTAAAGGTAGTTAGACATGAATGTTTATAAAAAAGGGATGAATAACAGCCTATTCCAATGCCAGCAGCAATATACCATTCCTCCCTACTATGTACACAATTTCTGTTTCATTCATTCATTCATCAATCCATCCAGAAAATGTGGACTGATTTATGGATTTTTCCCCTTTCAGACACATTAGTGATTATCCTCCTTCAAAATCAGCAAAATCAAATTAAAAAAATAGTCCCACATATTGTTGAGAGCCAAAGTCTATGTATTGAAATTATTGTTGGGGACATATAGGTGGTGGGGACATGTCAATGCCAGTCCTTCAGAAAGTTGCGCCTGTGGATGATAGCATTTCTAAATATCCATGTTTATTTTTTATATCCTGTCATTAAAAAAAAACAACAAAAGGACAAAACAACCACTATTTCCGCCTGCCTTGGTATAAATGGTGTAAAGATAAGCATGCAGCCTCCTTTAGTTATTTTAATCTCGCATTGAAGTATTTGCCTCTATTCACTTATTTTAATATACAAAAATCCATCAAACATAAGTTATATGTATAAGGTTGTTTTTTTTAGCAAGCAATGGGAACTGAGGGGAAAGGAGCTCACAAACCCAAACTTTTAGCTGGGATCATGTTTGTTGATTATTCTGACTGATAAGAGAGAAAAACCAATAACTTAACTGATAAGAGAGAAAAAACAACTTCAAACAGAGGTGGTGGACTCAGATTCCAGCTTCCAAAAACGTACAATTCAATCATTGTTGGGAGCCGGAGAAATTCCACCTTTCTCCAGCAGAGTCCGCCGTGGATCCTCTGAGGGAGCCTCCTGCACAGCTACAGCTCGTCTAGATCATCAGAGGATCCACTACTTAAGCTGTCTTCAGACCTTGCCTCAACGCCGCAGTGTTGTTCCAGTTGGTCAGCGCTTAAGCCTAGATCCTCAGAGTAAATCTATGACTTTTGAATCCAGCTTGGATTCTAACCCCTGTGTCTGTTTTCCAGGAAACCCGTGCCTCCTCTGTGAAAGCTCTGGAAGAGCTAACCTGCCGAGCCGACCCTCTGAGCCAAACCCGAAGATTCACAGAGAACCTCCAAGCAGCTCAGGACTTGAGCTGGGTAACCCTAAGCCAAGGTCTGTTCTAAGTAGACGTGAGACGCTGAAGCAGCTACGGACTCTGCTGATGAACTCTTCTCCAGAACCAACAGTGACTCTCCCAAAGCTAACCTCAAGAACCCTCAAGGTACAATCAGTAGACTTCTGGAAATCAAACCTCTGTTGGCAACACTAACTGAACTGTCTCTCACGCAGACTCCGGTGAACCAGAATCCAGGCCCCGAACCTGAACCAGAATATTCAGTGTGTTTGTGCAAAATAAAACTGTTAAACTTTCATCCGTCAGTGGTGTCCGTCAGTGGTGTTCTGCATTCTTGGGTCGCTTTCAGTGAACCCATAATGACAGAACACTGCGGCCAAACTCAAGGCCCAGCAGAACATCTCCGTCAACTATTGGAGGAGCAGGATGCCCAAATCCACAGACAAGTTCAAGCTCTGAGTGAGTTAAACTCCCGTATTGAATTCCAAGACCATGTTGTCCGAAACTTCACCAGTCGTTTAAACAATGCTAACGCTACACCAGTTCCACAACAATTTCCGGGTCCAGTTCCACCTCCGAGGTCACCGGCAGTGACGTCATCTGAGTTCCGCCCTAGTCTTCCAGAAAGATTTTCTGGTAACATGAAAGAATGCAAAGGATTTTTATTTCAGTGTCGTTTGATTTTTATGAACTCCCCTGGCAGCTTTCCCACGGACTACAAGAAAATAACTTTTATTCTCTCTCAGCTAACAGGAAGAGCCTTGGAGTGGGCTCAGGCAAGATTTGCCACCGACGATAGCTTAAACTGCTATTACTCTGACTTCATTTCTGAATTTAACCAGGTATTCAACCAAGAAACAGACCAAACTATTGTTTCTAGAGCTCTTTTCAATCTTAAACAGGGAAACTCTTCTTTGGCTGAATTTTCTATTGACTTCCGGGTTAAAGCGGCAGCTTCCGGATGGAACCAGAGCGCCTTAAAGGGAGCCTTTTTCATGGCATTAAACGAGCACATTAAAGATGAACTCGCAACCCTCGACGAACCAGCTACCCTCGAAGATTTAATTCGCCTCTCCATCAGATTAGATAATAGAATTCGAGCCAGAAACAGTTCTAAGAAGCAGGGTACACTTTCTTCTGCCTCACATAACGTGACTGTTTGTTCTCCCTCTACAGAGCAGCTGCCCATTCAGAGGCCTAAGCCCCAGTCTCTACCGTTGCCTGTTCAGGCCTCTCATTCGGGTGAAAGGGATGTCGAACCCATGCAGGTGGGACACACCAGGCTCACTCCAGAGGAGAGACAAAGGCGTATTCTAAGCAAACTATGTATCTACTGTGGTGAGAGT